TTCAGAATTTTTCCCACTTTTAACATGACATATAAGCTATACAATTCAATTGAAAAACAAATTGACATCTTTTAGGGAGAAAAATAACAATAACAGATGTACAATAACATGGTTGCATAGGTTGCATACCCTCTTATAAGTAGAGATATGGCTGTGTTCAGAATTAACCAACCACATTCAAACCGATGTTAAATAGTATACATCTACATTCAATTAAACTGACTCTGATCAAGCCCATCATCCGGGCCCAGTTACATTTTGCAAAAACCTACATCAAGTCTGACAAAAACATGTGTGAAAATGTGTTATGATCTAATGAGACCAAGGTTGAACTTTAGCCATAATTCCAAAGTATGTTTGGTGCAAAAACAACATTGTGCATCATCACAAGCACACCATACCCAGAGTGAAGCATGGTGGTGGCAGCATTATGTGTTGGAGCTGCTTTTCTTCACCTGGAACTGGGGCTTTAGTCAAGCTGGAGGGAATTAGGAAGAGATCCAAATCAGTCAATTTTGGAAACAAACCTTCAGGCCTCTGCTAAAATGCTGAAGATGAAGAGGAATTTCACCTTTCAACACAATAATGACCCAAATGGGGCCGGGGTAGGCGTGGCCAGCTCGACATCACTAGTGGTGGCCTGAGCGCTCTGCCAGCGAAAACAGGCTCCTGAGCTCCATCGATGGCCTCCTGCAACCCTCTGCCAGCAAAAACGGAGCCTGGAGCTTCACAAGGTCTGTTTTCAGCTGCAATGGCCTCTGGTTTCGCTGGCAGAGGCACACCAGCCCAGTCTGCTGTTTCCAGGGCAGCCTCATGGGCTAGATCTAAGCACCCCATGGGCCAGATCTAGCCCCTGGGCCTTGAGTTTCATACTCTTGAATTAGACAAAGCTAACTGGATGGACAAAGTGTATGTCTAGCAAATTCTTGGTTTCTACCAGGCCCTCAAGGAAACAGGATGCAAAGTTTGTAAGGCCTTTTAAGGTCAGCCAGTGGGTGAATCCTGTGGCTTCTCATTTGCAATTGCCTCTATGAAGGTCCACCCAGTTTTCCAGCATTCCTTGCTGATCAGAGAGGCCTCACCAAGCCCCTTATGATAACAACAACCATTACCCTCTCCAGTAATTGTTCAAGGTAAAAGAAACCTTGGACTTAAGGAGACAGGGTAAAGGTATACAGTACTTGATTCTCTGGAAAGGCTATCCAGAAGCAGAGCGTTCATAGGAAAATGCTATGTGTACGGTCCTGATTTGGTGCAGCAGTTCCACCAGCAATTCCCAGACAATCCAAGGACTTCCAAACTCCAAGTATCCAACCCCATATCCCAGACCCTGAAGAGGAACGAGTGAAGGAGTTAACTAGGCTGAGGGGCGTCCTCTAGAGGAAAGCTTTGAAGCAGATGAGCCTTGACCTTCAACTTCTGGGCTTTACTTCCTGAAGGAAACGGAGGAATTCTCTAATCATTTAGATGTTTTGCAGGAGGCACCACCTGGCTGGGGAGATTCTTTGGACTCTGTGGTCAGGGGACTCCTTTGAACAGGCATTGCTCCCACCCCTCCCAAGTTTCTGTGAGAACTCAAGAGATGAAGACTACTTGGAAGAGGGAGGGACTGACAAGGAGGAGGGATCAAGCAGGAAGTTAACTTTGAGTTATTGCACAGCTGCAAGAGACCTAGGACTGACCTCCCCCCTCTAAGTTCCATGAAACTTTATCTGTTTGTTTCCAAGGGAGTGCAAACAGTCTGGGGAGATACTCTTATTTATAGGTAGAATACAATAGTCAACTTGGAACTTTTCACGTGTGGATCTAGTTGCTTGCGCCTGACATTGAATGGGCTATTTGGACCACTACTTTTGTAATCCATCTATTTCTGTGGTCTAAAAAGACAGTTATAGATGCAAATGTATTGTCCATCAGAGGTTGGCAACTATGCCATGATATCCTTGCACTTTAGTGGGATGCTCATCCATCTCCACAATTAGGAAATAGATGATCCAGCAAGTTGTCTTTTAAATTAGAGAAAAAATGAAATGGTTGTACCTGCAACAAGAAAACATTGACTTTGATAATAACTTACAATTTAAAACAATAAATTCCATCAAATTATCACGTGTCAGTCAGGTGACATGGCAATCTTTGATTATCTGTATTTTGAAAAGAGTTTTTAATACCAATAGATCCTTATCACTCCCTGTGAGAAACACTAACAATTTTTCCTTTGATTATATAGGAAAAACTCTGATGAAGCTGATCTGGTTCCTGCTAAGGAAGCTAACATCAAGTGTCCACAGGTGGTCATCTCATTTTATGAAGAAAGGCTTACGTGGCACTCTTATCCCTCGGAGGATGATGATAAGAAGGATGACAAGAATTAAGTTGCTTGACCTTCTGTCCTCATCCCTACTTTGGCTGACTTTTGTATTAAAAGAACAGACTGGGTTTGAACATGAGGGAGAAGTGAAGAGACTCTTGGCTGAGGAGGATGCCCTCTGTAGAAACAGGACAAGATCTCTGCTTCAGTGTGCATGTGCATATTCATAATCTGTCACCTTGATTGGTGGAATGAAGGCCACCAACAGAAACAGCAAGTGCAGGTGCTTGTTCTGTAAAGATTACCTGAAATTTGCAACATTTCTCCCAAATAGTATTAACAGCGTTTTTATAGTTTAGCATGTGTGTGTAGGTTTGATTCCTTTTCCTAATCCTGACCGACCTTTTTCCTCTCCCTCTGGGCAAGGTGTCTCCCTTGCAAGTATTACATAATGGGAAGTGAATCTAGGGTTTAGAGAATACATTGTTTTAAATTTGTTCATGACACTGTACAGCACAGGTGTCAAACTTGATCACATCACATGACATCACGTGATGTATCATGACATTTTCTTTTGCCTTTGCGGAGCCAGGGTGGGTGTGGCCTGCACGTGATGCATCTGGGCTGTGGGCCACCAGTTTGACACCCCTGCTGTACAGTATGGTACAACACTTAAGACAATTGTATCCTATAGGTCCTGCTATTAAGATAACAGGTGACAAAGTACCCTGTTTAATCTGCTGTAAATGGCACTTTATAGAAGAGAGGCCCAAAATATCTTAAGTCATGCCACACATTTCTCATCCTTTTCTTCTTGCTTCCAGTTATTTAAAGAGCAGCTATATTACTGGTATTAACTAATATGTGAGTTTGTTGTAACTGCCCTTCTGGGTTTATTTTAATTTACTAGCTTCTTGTGGCATTTTCTCTGGAGTAAACTAAGAATAACCTGTTACAAGTAGTTTAATATGCTACTTACAGTGGATATAGAAAGTCTACACACCCATTAAAATGCCAGGCTTTTGAGATGTAAAAAATCAGACCAAGATGAATCACTTCAGAATTCTTTCCACCTTTAATGTAAATTCTCTTTGCAAAAAATCAGTGAGTTTAAAGTGAAAATGTGGTACTCTGAAAAATCTGAGCTAGTTAAGAATTGAAAGATGTTCCATTTTGGATAGTTAAAAAGTATTATCACAAAATGTTCAGCCCTGCCCATGTTACAAGTGGGAGGAACAACCCAGTTTCAGAATTCCTTTGTTTAAAGTAAAATTTATTGTAAAAATAGCCCACAAATGATAAAGATCTCAGTTCCTGGCTTTTAACTTTGTATTTTTAAAAGGGAGTAAAATTGGCAGTTGGGATCTAGAATATCTACAGAGTGTTAAAAATTGGAGAAGAAAGTAACACACATGCAGCATATCCTTGGATGCAGTACTCCAGGGTCAACATTACCTTTTTTTTTAAAAGTGTACACTATATATACTGTTATCACAGCTAATAGCCATTTGTGTATTCATTGTGAAAATATCTTTTAAGGCAGTAGAGTTCCAGAAGAGTAATCAGAGCAATGCTATAAACATATAGTGGGTTTAGTCCTGGGTAAAGAAGACAAAACCAATTTTCAAATAGTGAATAAGCCATTTTATTTTTGTCCTGTGCTCACATTCTCTCACTTTCTCAATAGATCATAGAAACCATTCAAAATAAAACCTCACAAATAAGTTAACATATGCACACAACAGGGCTCCATCCTACACATCCAACAACTAGTTACAGCTCCAATACATTTTTTGCTTCAAGTTTTGTGCTGTTCATTCCAAAAGCAGGAGAAATGAAGACTCTATAAATTTACTTCTTATCCACTCATGTTTTTCCTGGAAAAGGTCAAAGGAAAAAATAACACCTTTGCAAACATTGCTTTATACCAGGGGTGTCAAACTCATGTCACGGCATTGCATGATGTATCAGGACTTTCCCCTTCACTAAACTGGGCATGGCTGTGGCCAGCGCATGACACATCTGGCCTGCGGGCCGGGAGTTTAACAGCCCTGCTTTATACCAATTAATGCATAATATCTACAATCCTTCAGAGGATGCCCATTTCAATGTTATGCCCTCATACATCATCACATACACAGGACTGAGTGGCTGGGAAATACCGAAAGGCATTTTAGCTCTACAGTTGCTGGTCAAGTCAGTAATACTCCCAGCTGTGCTTCAGGGATGGCCTCAGAGCTTGAGGCTAGCTGTGTTCAAGGCACTATCTTCATCCTTCATCTTATTTTCTTTCAATGGGGGGTGAAGAGGGAAGTTGGAATGACACCCAAGGACAGAAGGGAAGCCAGCTGTGGAATCAGTTAACACATTGAGTCTTTATGGCAGAAAGAACCGTTAGTAGCTTTGATATGTTTGTTGTTTGTTGATTTTTATTTATATGCTGCCCTTCCCCCCCCCCAGGGGGAAGTACCACCCTTCTTTCCTGCATGCATACTCTTGAGTTCATTCTATAGCACTACAGGGGAGGGGAAGCAACACAGGAACACAAACCATAATAAATTAAAATCAAACTGCCCATTCAAAAAAAGACTTGCTGATGGCTCTCAACACAAGCATGGCCACTTAACAGAAGCAAAACCAGCTGTGCTATAGACCAAATGGTGATGGTCAGATGCCTTGCGGATTCTAGATCTACGCCGTTGGCCAGTGGTGGGTTCCTAACTGTTCGGCCCAGTTCGACCGAACTGTTAGCACTGACTGCAAGCCGAGAGCGAATTGGTTCTCTATCCGTGAAAGTGGGCCTGCCCGCCCACGGGTTATACTGACCTTTATTTCTGCTTCTGAAGCCCAGCTGATCAGTGGTGGCAGATTGAATTGCCTCTCCTCAGCTGGTGTCTGTGCTCCTTGTTTGCAATGCGGAAGTTCAATTTTTGCTAAACTGCATGCACCGATAACACGCACCTGGCCTGCAAACAAGTGAAGTGAGAGCGCGCGCACAGCTCGTGTGAAACAAACCGGTTGTGCAGCCGGTAGGAACCCACCCCTGCCTTTAGCCCTATAGTTCCCTTCACCCAAAGCAGTCTCTCTAAGCCAATCAATGGGATACTAAATTGATGACTACAGCTTTATGGTATGCAATTTTACCATGCAGCATCATGTGATGCATCTTGATAGTGGCCCAGAATTAATGCAGGCTCCTCTGCCGGCAAGGGACATCTTTAACAAAGTTTTCAATTAGGATGGATAAAGATAGATTAGAATAGTAATTCTATTAACCCTTTGCACTCTTACCCTGCCAAACATTTATGATAAATGCTGACGTTCAAAATGGCAGTACATATAGATTCCTTGAATGGAAAACACTTTCAGCTTGAGGGGAAATGTTTTTCTTCTCTCCTAAGTACAATCAATTTTCTGTGCTTCCTCTGTAGTTACGTACATACAGATCTACAAAGAGATCAGGGCTAAGTATTCAGATTTAGGCATGGGTTTGAGCTGCATTAAACTAGTTAAAAAATCCAACCAGCTACCTGAAATACCCAAGACTTGGAAAGTCAAAGAAGAAAAAAAACTTAGATCTCCTCAATCCATCCATTTCACATTTCTTCCTTTACAAAAAAAAGACATTTAAACAATTCAAATTTTCTACCCTCTGCTGAGATTTCCCCCCTGCTACACACACATTATGCCAGGTAATTCACTCATGTTCAATTGGTTTGAGGCTTCTCGAACCACAGGTCTTTCCCAGCATGTTTTGCCATTCCACCGCTCAAGACTTGTAGCCCCACTACCCAGCAGTCTGCTCCTATACATTGGCTGGAACCTAGCATGGTTTGAGAAGGTATATTGAGAAGGGATGAATGTTCCTCCAAATTCTTCTGGGCTCAGCCCTTCTCCAGGTTGCAGATTCAGCAAGTTTATGCTTTTCAAATGATATTTATCATCTTTCACTTCCTCCTGTCTTTCTGTTTCTTCTCTTGACACCACCTCTGCTGCTCAGCCAAGGAACGTGATATTAGAATAACACTGCCATCACTGGCATGCTGTAGAATATACTGGTTTGGGGAATAGGGCTGTCCATTCTCATCACGCAGATGGCCGAATACCTCCTGGTAGAGGGTCTGCATTTTTTGCTTCATCTGGTGGATGGACCTGAGAAATTCCACCTTCTCCCTGAGCAGCTTTGATTTGTCTCTCTGCAAATCATCTACATCCCGCTCCAGATTGAGGATAGTGTCCAGTTTTCTTTTACGACAATTCTGGGCTGCCATCTTATTCTTACCCCTTCTGCGAATGTCACGGATTAGACTCAGCTGTGCTTCACTCAACTGATACTTGGACAGGAGTTCATTGAATTCCTCTACAGGCAAATTGATGATCTTTTCATTGGGAAAAGGAATCTTCATGGCTCTGGCTCTATGTTCATCTCTACTCATCTGCTTATCTAGAAAATCTGCTTGCTTTTCTTTGGAACTCTTCTTTCCCATACTAGCTGGCTGGGACTCATCAGTGTCTAAGGTCCTAGGGGCCATGTTGTATGTTTGATTGTGACCCACATGCTCATGATAAGGCAGGTACTGCAACTGAGGAGGATTTTGGTAGCTCATCCGATAGAACTTGCTATATTCTGGCTGATACCCAACAGCTCCTTCTGCATCTTCAAAGTCCACATTTTCAGTATCAGAACTGTAGCCTACAGCTCCTTCCTCAGAAAAGGAGGAAGAGGATGATGCTTCTGAGCTGCTGAGAGAAGCAGGGCTGTGACTTGAGTCCAGAGAGAGCCCTGAGTCTGAATCAAATTCCTCTTCCAAGCAGGATGCCTGCACTGGGTTGAAGCCTTCTTCAATAGCCAAATCCATTAAACTAATCTCATCTAGCATGGCTTCATCCAGGAGCCCTCCAAGAGGATCTGGGAGTTCAGACCCAGATGTTTCAGTTACAGTGCAGTTTAACTGGGGAGGAAAAAAGTTCCCACTTAGGTTGGTAGAGCCAAATTTGTTGAAGCCAGTGGAGTTATCAGGAACCAGTTGCAACAAAGCTGAGCCACCAGCCACTGAGGGACTTTCACTTTCAGAGTTGAACAGGGAAGGGAAGTCTTGTGTGCAGCCAACCAGCGATGCCTGATGCAGGCTGACATTCTGGTTAATAGGGGTGGATGGAGCAAGGCTGTAGTTGGCTGTCAGAAGGTTTCCACTTGAGCTGTTATATAGAGTTGTGCTGTTCACCTCCATGCTCTGCAAAGGAAAGAGAGACTTTTTAGATTCTGCAGTTCTCAGTATTGCCCAATTCAACCAACTTAAAAATTAAAGAGTCCAAGGAAAATAGTAAAAATGAATTATACTTCTACTAGCAGAATGAATACCATTGGAGGATCACATTTACCTCTTCTGCTTTTACAAGCCTTAACTCACATAAAATCTGATCCAGTGGACCCTCCAATCCTCCATAGGAGGCATAGAAGGTAGTAGGGGGAGTATACTGGCCTTCATCCCAAACTTAGTATCTTGTATTCTGGGCACATTGGCCTGGAAACATACATTAAAATTTATGGTAGTCTCCTCATCCACTTAGATGGACAAAAAATTCAGATATGGGGTTCACTATAAACAAATAAGAAATTAAATACCTTGTTTTTAGATAACAATCTTATCAGTTACTGTCCTCTAACCATCAGGAAAGCATCTAGGAAGACCTATTGTTTTCCCTCAAGGCTATTTTGTACATAAAAATGCATTTTTATGTATCCAATTCTCCCCTCCGGCCACCAAGCTGTTGGCAAAATAAAAAAGCAGGAGGTGGGTAGTTACCTGTATATAAGGGAAACACTATGACAGGGAGGGGTACAGACATGTTGCACAGTTGTGCATATGAAAACAATTGTCCCCAGATTAGACAGATTAGAATCCTGAGGATTGTTTTTATTTCCCCTCTAGTAAGTGGTTTAGGTGTTCTCTGATTTACTATCTCGCTGGTAATCATTTGGTGCCACACATTTTTCTGATTTTGAGGAGTACATTCAACATGATGGTTTTAGGGAAGTTCCAACTCTACAGATATTTTGCATTTGTCCCTTTGTAATGAATGTTCCATTCTATACTACTACCAAGTGCTACAGGAAAAAAGTCCTAACAGGAGTAAAGAGACTGCTCTACATTACAGATACTGTCACAGATAAGAGGGGGTCAACCTATTCTCCAAAACACCTGAAGGCAGGACAAGAAGCAATAGATAGAAACTAATCAAGGAGAGAAGCAACCTAGAACTAAGGAGAGATTTCCTGACAATTAGAACAAAGTGGAACAACTTGCCCCCAGAAGACACTTCTAGGACAAAAATTATGAGTTGTATGAAACTGATGAAAGCAGGACAAAGAGGAATACTAAATCCAGCAAGCATAGGAGATTGTCCTATAGGTACTGGTCCTGGAAAAAGCAACCTCTGGAGAAACCTGTCTTTCCTCACCTGTGTTTCCATGATAGACATGAGGTCCTGCCACTGTTGTTCCAGATCAAAGGGCAACTCTGTATCTGTCAAAAGGGGAGACAGGACCCCATCTGAAATGACAGAAGGGCCACTCTCATTTGGCTGAAAGTCAGTTAGGCTGGGAACACCTGCAGCTGGAAACTAAAACAAAACAGATCTGGGTAAATTAATGGTGTCTAGGTGGCATGAAAACAGTAATAAATAATTTTTTCTTTCCTTTCAGTGTATGAACTTTAGAGGTTCTTAAGCTTTTGCCACATGCTGTGGCAGTCCATCCTCTTTCCCAAGGTTTATTATTTACTTAAATGTATTTCACACATTATAAATACATGAATAGATATTCCTTCACAGAAATCTTGTGAATAGGTTGGAATAAAAGGTAATGATTAGCCAAGAGGCTCCTAGAGAACCTCATGAAAGTGTGGGAATAAGTGAGATTCACTCTGTATTGTATAAATCTCCCTGACTCTACACTAGGATAAGAGCAAAGAGGGAGGGGGATTCAATTGCAATACTGACACTGTAAAACGGACAAGGCACTGGGCTTTGTGGGTGAGTAAATCCCTGGGTAATTCAGAACATTGCCTTCTACTCAAAGCATAGCACAGTTGTCCATTTCACAAGGTTGTTGCAAGGACATGAGATGGAGACTAATAACATATCCAACACACCTTTCTCCTCCTATTTTCCCCACAACAACATATATGTGAGGTGAGTTGGGCTGAGAGAGAGTGACTGACCCCCAAACTGGCCTTCATGGCTGGACTTGAACTCACAGTCTCCCACTTTCTAGCCTGGTACCTTAACCACTAGACCAAACTGGCTATTGCTAGACTGAAATTGTCAGTGGAACTGGCAAATGGAGTGAACACCAAGCTTGCTTTCTCTAACCTGATGACCTCCAGATGTGTCAAACCCCAGCTACCACAATTCCAATTACCATTGTTGCGGACTGAAAATTACTGGAGTTGCAGTTTAATATATCTGGAAGGCATAGCAGTGCAGTAGGGAACTAAACTGATCATCAAGTGTGAAAACATATACCTCGGAATTTTCCCCAAAGGGAAATGTAGCCTCTAGCAGTCTAAGGCACTCCTTCAAAGACAAGGCCCTCTGATCCTCAACCCCAGGCACCTAGAAGGAAAAATAATTGTTGTTTTACTGCCACTGGGCCAGACCATGAAGGACTCCTGTGGTTTTCTAATATTCAATACTTATGTTCTTGTTTTTTTTTCCTGATCTCAAAAGAAGATTGCTATATGACCCACCTTAATATAACAAAAATAACCTAAAATAGGAATAAGGTGGCCCATGTTTTGGTAGCTAAGTCCTGACCTTTAACATGTTTTTTGGTATCAGGGGCTGCAATGGGTAGAGTGATGAAAAAAAAGGATTTTCTGCAGCTTTTGTTTCGGGGGAATTGCAGGGGTGGTGGTAAATGTGGTTTAACTTTGTTATGTCTTGGAGAAGGCAGAAGTGTCGCAGCAAGGCCGGCTGGGAAAAAGCATGCTCTGCCAAGCCTCGAGGAAATCCAGCCGGACAAACCGCTGTTGGGAGGTCTTCGGACTGAAACCTGTCCTGGAGGGACAGGGGAGAAGAAGGGATGGCTCAGATGACCTAGAGCCGTGATGGCAAACCTATGGCATGTGTGCCACAGGTGGCTTGCGGAGCCATATCTGAGGGCACGTGTGCCACCTATGTCAACTCCAGTGCACATGTGCACGCTGGCCAGCTGATTTTTGGCCTTCAGGAGCCTGGGGAGGGTGAAAAATGGGCCCAACGGGCCTACCAGAAGTTCAGAAATGAACTTCCGTGGGGCCCATTTTTTGCGATTCACAGGCTCCAGAGGCTTCCCTGAAGCCTGGGGAGGACAAAAAACAGCCCAACAGGCCTACCGGAAGTCTGGAGGCTTCAGTGCGGCCTGCATGTATGCACAAGGGGAACTCAGGGGGGGTTTGCGCACATGCGTGTGGGGAGGTCATTGCATTATGGGTGTGGGCACTTTGAAAGAAAAGGGAAAAAAAGAGAGTTGCAGCGGCAGTGTGACCTTGGATTCAGGAAGAGACTTTGAAACCGTGAGGATCGTTAAGGAGTAGCTGTCTTTGCAACATTGTTTTGACTGTAACTACAGCTGTGGAAGAGAAAGGAAACTTTAACTTGGACTGGACTGGACTAATTTTAAAATTGAGCAACAGAATCTGAAAGATCCTAAATTTCCAATTAAACATCTGTTAAAATAGTTAAACTTGCATAATGGCGATTTGAATGTATGATGAATTATTTGTGATGCTGAAAAGCGCACGTGAAACGTTAATTGGTAAAGCAAACCCAGGAAATCAAAGGGAATATACAGAACAAGAAATAGGAGAAGAGGGAGTAAAAGAGGGCACAAATGAGGTTCAGGAAGATAAGGTGGGAAAAAGAATTGAAAATAAAATGCAGATAGAAGATTTCACTGGGATTTACAGTCACAAAGAAAAAGTAGACACGGGGATATCTCCCAAAAAAGAAACCACAAAATAGTAAGGAAAGGAGGAGAACAGGGGAAACCCTGGGGAAAGTTACTAGAATAATAAAAGTAAATACTCTGAAGAAAAGATACATTAACCACAAAAATAGGGAAAAGAAAAAGAAGTAGTTAGGGGAAAGGGGGAGAAGAAGGAAAAGAATTAAAACTGGGATTTTTGAGAGCCCAAGAGAAAATGGTTAAAAGAGGAAGAAAGGGGAAAAGAGTTACATTAATGGACTAAAGAGAATAGTAGTAAGATTGTTATTGTTATGTAACTAATTAAGAAAGAAATGATAGTATATTGTTAATGGTAGAAAATTTTTGAAAGAAATGTTCTCTATGCTTACATTGAATTAGAGGATGTATGCTGTTTATAGCAAAATATACCAATGGAGAAAATAAGAAATGAAAATTTGGTGTAACTTGGAAGGGGCAATTGAAGATATTGTTTATGTATTAAGAAAAAATAACTATAAAGATGAAAAATAATGGAAGAGAAGGAATGTTGGTCCTACCTGAACGTTCTTCTCAGTGTGGTGCAGGACAGTCCAGAAGTGGGTTGTTACATCTTTATCTGCCCAGAGACTTGAGTCATAGTTGAAGCCACTCCTCCAGTCCTCTTCTGCTTGGCTCCAATTTCGATGAAGACACAGCTTCAACCTACAGAACAAGAGAAAAGCAGCCCCTACCCCGCAGGTCACCCAGCCCAGTGGACTACGGGCCTGACTGACAGGGTGGGATCTGGACCATCCTGTGCCTCGCTGAGAAGAACGTTCAGGTAGGACCAACGTCCCTTCTCCAGCTGATGGTGCAGGACGTTCCAGAAGTGGGACATACCAAAGCGGCAGTCCTTAGGGTAGGGAACTTACTGGTCCATAGTTTCTGATGGTGTATACACTCTTTGAAGCACCCTTCGGCCAAAGGATGCCTTGGCGGATGCAAACACATCCAACCTATAGTGCTTTATGAATGGCGATGAAGATGCCTATATAGCTGCCCTGCAAATGTCCCCAATTGGGGCCTGAGTATTCCATGCTGTCATAGTGGCAGCGCTTCTAGTCGAGTGTGCTGTGATCCCCTGAGGCACAGGTTTACCCTGAGCCTCATAAGCCCGTGCGATGCACGCTCTCAGCCAACGTCCTATGGTAGTAGGTGAAACCCTAGAACCCACTGCGGAAGGCTGAAATGAAAGGAATAACGCTTCTGTTTTCTGAGAAGGAGCTGTTCGCTTAATATAAATAAGGAGAGCCCTCTGGACGTCCAATTTATAGCAATAGCAATAGCAGTTAGATTTATATACCGCTTCATAGGGCTTTCAGCCCTCTCTAAGCGGTTTACAGAGTCAGCATATTGCCCCCACAGTCTGGGTCCTCACTTTACCCACCTCGGAAGGATGGAAGGCTGAGTCAACCCTGAGCCGGTGAGATTTGAACCACGGAACTGCAGCTAACAGTCAGCTGAAGTGGCTGCAGTACTGCACTCTAACCACTTCTCCCTCTCATGAGAAGGATTGGGGTAAATGTCCGGGAGAACAATCTCCTGAGCCCTATGAAAGTATGAGTTAACCTTAGGAATGAAGGTGGGGTCTAATCTCAGCACCACAATGTTGGGATGAAACACACAGAAGTCTTCCCTCACTGAGAGAGCTCCTAGCTCTGAAATACGCCTTGCAGACGTGATGGCTACCAAAAAGGCAACTTTGAGAGTGAGACACTGCAAGGAAACAGTCCTCAACGGCTAAAAAGGATCTTTAAGAAGAGCCAACAGGACTGTAGTCAGATCCCATGATGGGAATCTGTGAACCACCGGTGGCCTAAGGTTAGCCAACCCACGGATGAACCTTTTAATAACTGGATGCCAGCCGAGGCTCTCCCTGCTGTCCAGCACCAGGATGGTGGACAATGCCGCCACCTGCCTGCAGAGTGTGTCATGAGACAGGCCCTTGTCCAGGCCATCCTGGAGAAATTCCAGGATGTGAGGGAGAGACGGCCCCTTAGGGTCCATGTTTTCTGTGTGACACCACTTGCAGAAAGCCGACCACGTGGCATTGTATATCTTAGCTGTGGAGGGCCATCTAGATGCCACAATGGCCCTTATCACACTTGAGGATAAGTTAGCTTTCCTCAGGATTTCCCTCTCAAACACCAGGTGGTCAACTGGAGCCACTGAGGCTCCAGATGGACCAGCACCCCCTGGTGTAGAGAGATCCTCTTCTGAGGAATCCTCCATGGTTTGGCAATGGACAGACCTACTAGGTCCGCAAACCAAGGACTGGGAGGCCAGTAAGGGGTGATCAGGATGACCTCCGCCCTCTCTGACACTATCTTTCCCAACACCCCTGGAATTAGAGGAAGGGGAGGGAACGTGTTTAAGCAATACCTGGGGCCACTGGCTGCGTAGGGCACCACCCCCCTCCGTTCCCGGAGTCGGGAACCGAGTGAAAAACCTGGGAAGCTGGGTGTTCTCCAGGGTCGTGAAGAGGTCCACCTCTGGCTGCCTGAACCTTCGCCAAATCTCC